GAATATGAGACCTTCCTTGAGGAAGTGCAGTGTGCTCTGTCTGAAGTGCCGAATACAGAGTCCCTCATACAGATGGGCGATTTTAATGCGCATGTCAGAGTAGACGCTGAAAAGTGGAACGGCGTGATTGGAAAAAACGGCCCTATCGACCTCAACAATAACGGCATGAAGTTGTTGCAGTTTTAAGCAAACAATGGATTGTCCATTATGAACGCTTTCTTGGAGCATCGAACAAGGCATCAGTATAGCTGGTACCGGGAAGCATGTGCACAGAAGACGATGGCCGATTTGTTGATCGTATCGTCTGACTTAAGACGCGCAGTAATGGATGTTCGCGTTAAGAGAAGCCAAAGCTATCAACCGATCATCACCTTGTTGTTGGCACGCTGCGTTGTAAGAAATGGAGTGCCATACGAAGATCTGGTGGCAGAAGCAACCGAAGAATCGAATGTGGAACATTCTCTTCAGTGGACACGAAAGCGAAATTTGCAAACAACATCACACGACGGTTTGAACACATCCCAGTGATAACAACTGATGTTGAAACCGAGCGGCAGCTCTTTAAGAGCGGCATACTCAAGGCCGCCGCCGAATGCTGCGGTTATAAACGGGTTGTTCTGCCGCCTGGAGGTCAGAAAAGAACTTCATGGTGGACACGAGAGGTACAACTGTCAGTTAAAGAGAGGAAAGCAGCTTTCAAGAAATGGCTTGGAAACAAAGACCCTTCTACTCGCGTGCGATATGTCGAGGCACGCAAGGCAACAGCGAAAGCAGTGGCAAAAGCCAAAGCTGACGCCTGGGAGACGTTCGGTGAGGTGGTGGAGACGAATTTCCACACGGCAAACAAAGTATTCTGGCAGAACATACGCCGGCTCCGAGGTGCAAAGTAGTGCAATGTGAGAGTCTTGAAGGACAGGTCTGGACACCTCTTACCAAGGATGATGACATTCTTCGGCAATGGAGGGAGTACTTTCATGTACTCCTTAAGCCAAAGGAACCGGAGGAAGACTCGCCTGTAGAGTACAAGGGTTACGGATATTACTATCTCTGTAGATGAAATTGCACAAGCTGTGAAAAGCTTAAAAAATGGAAAAGTTGCTGGAACTGACCAAATCCGCCCTGAGATGCTCAAGGCATTAGGCGAACAAGGCATGTGTCGGCTAACACATGTCTCTCA